CTCTCTCGCTCTCTCTCTCTCCCTCTCTCTCTCTCTCTCTCTCTCAGCGCACAATAGCAGCTCGTCTCAGAAACGTGTTGTGAGCGCCTTATCCTGGATTGACTTGAAAGCATATGTTATGATGTAGATCTAGACAAAGCGTTCAGAGTATTTGATCTAGACTACCCTACCGTCAAAAACAGCACGACAAGATTTATTACTGTCGTAATTATGATGGTAGATCAACACAATTGAAAGAATTAGGCCTATGTGTGTGAAATATAAATACATGTACGTATAATTATAATGATGTATCAATTATTACAAATAAATTAAACACATACTTTAACATTTTAGTTTTCGACCTACTCTCGAGAAACGTGTTGTGAGCGCCTTATCCTGGATTGACTTGAAAGCATATGTTATGATGTAGATCTAGACAAAGCGTTCAGAGTATTTGATCTAGACTACCCTACCGTCAAAAACAGCACGACAAGATTTATTACTGTCGTAATTATGATGGTAGATCAACACAATTGAAAGAATTAGGCCTATGTGTGTGAAATATAAATACATGTACGTATAATTATAATGATGTATCAATTATTAAAAAAAAATTAAACACATACTTTAACATTTCATCGGATCCAGCAAATATTTTCCCTACCAATGTGAGCTGTGCTTAAGCATAAAGGATTTTGTTGCTTTATAAACACACGCACGCGGGTCTGAATGTGTGCGTGCAGTGGATAGAAGCTTCTAGAAAGAAACGGATGTCAAATGAATGATGTCCAGAGCACCTGTTGCTCCATCGATATAGCCTAATGCAAGTATCCATTAACAAAATTCCCCTGACATGATGCAGGCACACGAGCGAGCCGTTGTCATGGTTACACAATAGTAGCAGATGCGCCGTTACTTCACACCGGGACCATTTGGCGCTCCACGTGCAGCCGCTCATGGCTCTCTCGTGCTGCGGCTCGGTTTGTTGTGGCCGGTTGTACTCGGCGGCGGTCACGTTGAACTCCTCATGGCGGCGCAGGGAGAGGGCGGAGGCGGAGGACCCGTTTATTTTAGTACCGAGCGCGCTGAGGAGAAACGTGCCAATGGCGGCAGCGGTGCTTCACGCGCTGTTTAACTGTAAATAACGCGCAGAATGACTGTCATAAATAAAATGTGGCAAGATTTATCTTCTTCTAAAGAGTCTAGAAATGCTGCCACGTGTAAAGAAGTATGTAGCATGATTTACTTTGCTAGGTCCATGTTACAATAGGCCTATAACATGCTGCTAAAATTAATGACCATATCAACAAGAAAAGCAGTGTGATGCCTACGATGCAAATATATTATAATCAACACAAAATTAGTAAATGATTTTGGTTTGTTTTCTCTCACTAAAATAACTTATTTTATTTAACAATAAATAAAATAATTAGTTAATTCGTTTGAAATTATGAGTTGATTTATTTATAAGAATAGCCTACACTTTATTTAAATGAACAAATTGAATGTAGGCTATGCAAGGAAAATGTGTCCCTCTGAATTCTGCACTGGTAGCAGCCGCATTAAGGTCTGCTCATATAATATAGTTAATAATTGAAATTCAAATAGAACTGGTGAAAAGAAGTGGGAGTTGTTGTTGTTGTTTTTTTATCTCTCTAAGTGCAGCAACAGGATGACAAAGCATCCTTCAGCACAGGCGGAGGACCGAGCCAGTGCATGAGACACTTCCTTTCAGTCACTTCATACAGAATGCAAGCAGATTTGTGATCAGTCCTTGAGGCTTTAGGTGTAATATAGGCTTACTGTGGTTCACACTTTAGTGTGAATTCTGAGAAATATAAACATGTGCTTAATATGCAGATAGTACTTGGAACTGGCAGTCATAGTCTGAGAAGAAAAACACATAATGGAACAGCCCACCATGACCCTAAAAAGCTAATGCAATAAACTACAAATGCAACGTGTTTTAAGTGGTTAATTTCACAGTTGGACCTTATAATAGTCACTTTTATTAGAGAAGTGGAACAAGAATTTTAATAGGTCATGTGATAACAGAACGGTTTGGTTGGTTTAGTCTTAAACAGCCTGCTGTCCCAATGCCAATTCAGTTTCACAGGCTGTTTTCTTCGTTTAAGGAAAGTCCCCTTATTTGACTGCAAATATGTTAACCTAATATTAAATGTAGGTGTGTTGTTATTGCTTTAAGAAAAGGAATGCTGTAAAAACGTAAGCACACTTTACATTAATGTCCATCATTTGCATTTTATACATACAAGTAGTTAAAATAGCAGAAGTATTTTACTGCAAACTGTTTTTGCAAGTAGCATATATAAAGTTCAGATTGCTCATTAGTGTGAATGTAAATGCTCTTTTTCATTAACCCTCATATTAATGACCAAGAAGGCAAGAATATATATATATTCAGAAATGCACAAAAACATGTCAATTTAAAATTTGAAAAATATATGCAAAATACTTTGTATAATGTTTGCATTTTGTGAAAAACAAATGTTTAAAAGGTTGTTAAACACAGCTTTAAAAAAATCATGTTCATACTTTTTTTTTTTTTTTTTTATGTGTGAGAAGTATTGAAGTTTTTGAAATTTAAAGTTTTGTTTTTTATTTATTTATTTTCCTCCAAAATGTGATTTTTAGTGAATTGTATTGTATCCAATTAGGGTCAGTTTGACACGGAGCAATAATCATACCCAGAATTTGAGTCTAATTGTCCCTTTAACTCTTCTTTATAAACGAGCCTGGTTAGAACATTTGCACAAAATGTGACGAACATACAGTACCACTCACAAAGTACTTTCACTCTCTCTAAGTGTAAAAATGACTAATAGATCATCGTGCTCATACCTTGCCGGTTAAATGAGAAAGCGTGCACAATGTCCTGAGGCTCACTGTTGAAATAGCTCTAATATTAACTTTATAATAAGCTTACTAAAAGCAGAGAGAGAAAGTGGCACTCACAGACCCACCCTGGACATATTAAAACTTCAAGAATTTCCCATTTCTTACTAAACCGATGGTTCCCAGTCATAATTTCCTCCTTCTGCCTTTGCACCGGTTCATTTTATTTCCCAAATGTCATTTAACTCGTGGAAGGTTTCAGTCTGATGTTGCACTTTACACGGGGATTTTAGAGCGATACTTCTGACGATGTTGCCAGGTATCAATAATTAAGCATTTAAGGTGCGTCTGACACTTCAGTCACACTTCTGCTCTTTTTTACAGACAACAGCGAAGTTATACCACAGTGTTTTACTTTGAAATCGATTTGGGACTCTCCAGTCTGACCTCTGTTACTATACAAAGCTGCTCTGTCTACGACTCACAAGCACATAAATACAGGCTTTGCCAGTGCGTCGAAAACAGCTTTTTTACCCCCTTTTTTGCAGATCGACATGAAAGGTCACAGAAAGTGCATTTCCTTAGAGAAGCATGGGTTGCCGACTCTTATTAATCTTGAATTCTTAATAAGCTCAACTTCCTTTGCATTGACTGGGTGAATACAATGTCAAGTCATGAGAAAGCTGTGAAATGATGCAGTCATCAATCTAAACATATAAACGCACATAGGTTTTCGTACCGCTGAAATTAACACATTGTATGTAGGTACTTACTATTATATAGCATACCAGCTAATGAACAAAATAAAATAAATAATGTAAAACAAGAAGCAAAATTATGGATATTTAACGCTGATGTCCCCTTTTTCACTGTCAAAATACATCAATTTAAACCACAAAAAGAGACATACAAAAACTATATTTCAGTTCTGGTCCTTTGAACAAGAAATACATATTTTATTAAATATCACTTAAGTAATTTACAGTCTCATATATATATATATATATATATGTGTATTGGCCGGTGGAATGGGGGTTCAGGCGGGCTGCTGGGGGTTCACGTTCATGTGTTGGGGGTGTCCCAATAGCCCGATCCTCTGTTTCTGTTTCCTCTGCTCTGTCATCTGTCAAAACAAAACACAACAAGAAGTTTTATTTATTTTAACTAAATATTTCTCATCTCCTATCTGCCTCTCCCACACACCAGGCATGCATATTGTACATCTGTTTATGTGAATTTGTTTTGATATTTTTTAATATAATTTTAGATATTTATGTGATATTTACAATTACATATTCTTATATAATTATACTAGGTAAGGGAGGCAGTGTCTCCTCAAAATATTGGATGAGAAACATAAATCGTTGTTCAAAAATAAAACCACCAGTGTTACAAAACAACATTAAAAAGTGTGTACTGTAAATCACTCGTTTTTCTAAAAAAAAAAACTGTCCAACAGCGACACCAGCAGGTAAAGTTACAACGTGAGTCTGCTGCGTCTCTCTCGCCTCCCCTGAGCCCATTGAGTTATAACAGACCCCCTAAAGGGGGGTAATTGAGAATGAATGGGGGAAAGTCACGTGAGAGGAGGCAATGCCTCCATTGCGATATGATTGGACATGACTGGTTGTGATCGGCTGTGATTGGATAATGTGATAAATCCCGCCTCTTGAGTTCTTGCGCATTCCGTGTTTACGAATCAGTCTGAATTAACAATATAATGGCTAATAGGAAGACTAATTTAAAAAAAGTAAGTAAACAACTCACACACTTGTATATAAACACTTTGCTACTTCAAAATAAGACTTAAAATGGCATGAAAGCATGATCTGTGGGAGTTTTTATGGAGTAATCAGCTTGGCAAATCTCTGCGTATTTACAGAGCTTTGATGACTTATGATCTGAAAAATTCAACAATGAATTGAATTTTGAAAAAAAAAGTTTCAACAAAAGTTAACTATTAAAAAGAATAGCTGAACATAAGTTAACAAATAATTTATATTGTTTTAAATAGTTATTGCCTTGAGTTATTATTTTGGAATGAAAGTAAAATGCTTAAAAACACTAACTTGATAAGATTCATACTTGGCTTTAATAAACATAATATTTATTACATTGTTAATGTAAAAATATTTTTAAAAATTCTGATAGTGTAAGTGATGTTTAACCAAGACAATGTGACTGGGACATAAATTCACAATGGATTCCAAAAAAGTGTGTGTGTGTGTGTGTGTGTGACACTATATGCTGATGATTACTTTTACATTTACATATTTTATAACAGTTTTTTTTCAGAGTGAGTGTATATATATGTAGATAGACACACATCTGTATAGTAAATCTAAATATGTAAAAATATATGTTAAAGTTGAATATGTAAAAGTAACTCTGCTTAACAATGAATTGAATTTTGAAAAAAAAAGTTTCAACAAAAGTTAACTATTAAAAAGAATAGCTGAACATAAGTTAACAAATAATTTATATTGTTTTAAATAGTTATTGCCTTGAGTTATTATTTTGGAATGAAAGTAAAATGCTTAAAAACACTAACTTGATAAGATTCATACTTGGCTTTAATAAACATAATATTTATTACATTGTTAATGTAAAAATATTTTAAATTCTGATAGTGTAAGTGATGTTTAACCAAGACAATGTGACTGGGACATAAATTCACAATGGATTCCAAAAAAGTGTGTGTGTGTGTGTGTGTGTGACACTATATACTGATGATTACTTTTACATTTACATATTTTATAACAGTTTTTTTTCAGAGTGAGTGTATATATATGTATATATAGACACACATCTGTATAGTAAATCTAAATATGTAAAAATATATGTTAAAGTTGAATATGTAAAAGTAACTCTGCTCCCTTATTCAAAAAACACACATACATCTGAAGTTTTTGTCCATTTGAAATCTTCCTCATCTCCTGTTTGTCTCTCCCGCAGATCAGGCATATCATGCAGTGATGCATTCTGTGTGTCCATTCATGTTGCCTTGGTTATGACCTCATAACACAAGAGTGTCTGTGTATTGTAGGTGTGTGTGTGTGTGTGTGTGTGTGTGTGTGTGTGCTGCCTTATAAAAAGCTACTTGGAAAATAAAATGGAGCAATGTCATGCAGTGTTGTGCAACTGAGCTACAACATACACTAACACACACTCATGCTCACGTACACAGTTCCACAGAAATACAGACTGTCTGTACTGAAATCCCCTACTCTGACTCAACAGCTGCAAAAGCGAGCCAAAAAATGCTCACGCATGTGTATATTAAAGTTGATGTCCACAGGAAGTACCTCATACTACTAAACAATCACAGCCATTTAAAGGTAAGTGGCACTGCTCGCTCCTCCATATAAGGAGCCGTCAACTGCAGTTTTTCACGTCTTGATCTATAATCCAAGCGAAATAATAATAAACATCCAAGACAAAATGCTTTAGAACTAAAATACCGCGCGAGATCCTGCCTAGATTTAAGCTCACCCCAAAAACACCCATTCGTAAAATAAATCTGAAATGACTGAATCACTACATTAAAAGGACCCCAGGCGGGTCACATGAGGGAACTCTGGGAGGGACGTCACATGATTACACTAGTGCTTTGAGTGAAATAGATCACAGGATGAAATAATCATCTTGAAAATTGACAATTAAAACTAAATTTGTATAGGTAGGTAGGTAGGTAGATAGATAGATAGCATTACATTAACAGTCATTTTATATATAGGCAAAATATATATTTTATCTTTTGATGTAAATTATGCTAAGCATTTAAGCATACATGTGCAGATTAAAAGGTTTTGGAATACATCCATTTATTCTTTTTTTTTTTTTTAACATGAGTATATTAATTTTCTAAGACTATTATAGTGGAGATTTGCTATGGATTTGATGTATTTGGGTCTTATCATTTTTAGACAATTCTCATATAAATGGTGCTTCTGGTGCCTGAAAGTCTTTTGGTTTTTTATTGCAGTTACTTGATTTTTTTTATTTCTAATTTTGTCTTATTTACACTTTCCCCATGTGAAATCTTGGACAGAGTGGATGATAGCAGAAAAAGACAAACAAACCTGTTATAATATTTTAACAAGATCATAGACTGAAAACACAGCCCAAGATTATCATCAAATATCAACAAATGGGAAAACAAATCATTCATTTTCAAATGTTTGTGGGAAGAATTCTTATCATTCTCTCTTCCAAGTTTAAAGTAAGAAAGGGAAAAGCAAAACTGCTACTGACACGTGTAACCACCACATTGACGCAGGATAATAGTGAAAGTTTGTTGGTTTTTACTTGCTTTGTCTTCTTTTAGCCAAACAATGACCTTTTCCCCCTGTCTGGGGAACAAAAAAAACAGATCAACTTCCCTGTAGACACTTCCCATTTTATGTGGCTGCACACCTCAAGTTGGTGTTTATTCGACACTATTTACAAGAAATCAACAACATGACAGCAAATCCCATTACGCATATGCATCTAAGCATCTAAGTCAATGACCCACTTTATCATATTCATCTATGTGTGCTACACTGTTTATCTGTGGAAACAAACAAGCTCCAGTTCGCAGAACTTCATCTGGACGACAATGCGGCTGAATAAAAGTGAAACAACACTTGGCCTCGTGACGCAGGTGAAAGATCATTTTAAATACCACGAGCTGAAGGCAGAAAGAGAAAGACAGACAGAAATGACTCATTGCCCTTTGGTCTAATTGAACCTTGTAGAGGTTGTGGACTCGTACTGAGTACTGACTGACCTGGAAGGCCTAGTTTCACTCACACCCAACTCCAATTCTAGTCTGTGCAGTCTATTTCAACAGCTAAACGGGTCAAGACTACACCTCATCCTCATCGGGGCGTGAAGAACTGGTCTAACACATCAGCATTACGGACATAAAGTTCTGACATCAGGTCAAAAGCATCGGCACTCACCTGCTCTTTCAGTTCAGTCAGTTGGCCTGACAGGTTCGAGACCAGCTTCATGGTGGATTCAAGTTTCTCCTGAAGATTCCTGATCTCGTTCTGTTCGCCCTCGGCATCGCTGCTAACCAGCGACATGGCCCGCATGCGTGGAAACCAGTCCAAGTTGAGTTCCTGTTGGAATAGTACACATTAGTGTTCTTGGTAACACGTTATTATTATATATAAAGTGTAGCATATGCATAGTATACATTCAATAGTTACAAATGACATAAAACTCAAAGCCACTTACATACTGGTTAAAAATTTGGCAAAAGACTGTGCAGCAAGCATGCGTTATAAAGATCAAAAGTGAAAGTAAAGACTTTTATAATGTTGCAAAAAACTTCTATTTAGAATAAATTATTTTAGTTCATTAAAGAATCCTGACAAAACGAATCAGTTTCCGCAAAATATGAACTGTTTTTAACATTGATAATGAGAAACTTTTTTTTTTTTGGAGCATCAAATCAGCATATTAGAATGATTTCTGAAGGATCATGTGACACTGAAGACTGGAGTAATGATGCTGAAAATTAAGTTTTGCATAACAAATAAATTACATTTTAACATATTTTGAAATAGAAAACAGTTATTTTAAACCGCAATAATATTTCACAATATTACCGTTTTTATGATTTATTTATACTGCTAGGACACCTGTGTGAATCTGAGGGATGCTGACTTTTCTGATTTTTCTTTTATGTCAAAAATCATTAGGATGTTAAGTAAAGATCATGTTCCATGAAGACATTTTGTAAATTTCCTACCGTAAATATATCAAAACTTAATCTTTGATTAATGCATGGCTAAGAAATTCATTTGGACAACTTCAAAGGCGATTTTCTCAATATTTAGATTTTTTTGCAGCCTCAAATTCCAGATTTCCAAATAGTTGTATCTCGGCCGTATATTGTCCTATCATAACAAGCTTATTTAAGCTTATTTATTCGGCTTTAAGATGATGTACAAATCTCAATTTCAAAAAATGGACCCTTATGACTGGTTTTGTGGTCCAGGGTCACGTATGTTTGATATTTTGTTACTGAATACAACTTAATTCAAACATCAGGCCTGACTTATTTGGGTCACTTCACATGAATTGCTGACCTGTCAAACGAAGCATTCTTCAGTGTCTGCTGTATGATTTGTTCATTAATTACTCAGTTTTAAATTTTTTCCCCTTCCAAAACACTTTCCAAACGTCCTCCACTAGATTTCCCACCATGCACATTGCACAAATCATTCTAGAAATCAGACATTAACTAATGGTGTGCTTGAAGTCATGTCCTCCTCCACCTCTCATTCCCTCATTGTCTCTCTCTGTTCATAAGAATATATGTCGTTACATCAGACAAAATTCCCTATGTGTAACATAATTACAGCAAAGGAAATGCAGTATCAAAGTCACATGAGCATGTGGGCATCCTCACCCTCAGACCAGAGCTAACAAACATTGAGCACTATGTTTCTCCCTAACTAGCATACAATTATTTAATAAGGGGGAATCTACCGTCATTCCTCAATGAGATATTTGACATTATACACACTAATTCAATCAAGCAAAACACTAAAAACAGTATCGGACCGCAAGATGAAACCAGGTTTGGATCTATTTTGGACTTTCAGGAAATTTAGATTTACTTTTGAGCATCATAAATCACCTCAGATGGAGAAACATAAAAAAAACAACCCGATGCAACAGTGTAAAGCCCAATTCCGTGGTAAAACGCAGATTTGGCAACACTGTGTGGCATTTTACACAGGCAAAAAAAAAGTACAAAGTTTACATTGGACTTTTCAGTGATTTTCTGGTCTAGTACAAAAAGTTCTTAATGAAACAGCCATGTTCTTTTGTTGCAATATCTCAGAATAGTTTATAGTACAACAAGCAATCAGAGACAGCAGTGGGAGTCTTGGAGATCCAGCCTGAGCCAAACACGATTGCGGAATGTCTGACTTGTGACTGGTGGGAGAGGTCAGACGCAGATCCAAATAAGGACGAGAGGGAATCTAACAGAAGCAGGGGAAAAGTGATAGTCACGTTAAAGAATGCTGGTCAAAGAACACACCATTCTCTGCTCAGACACTTCCTATTCTCCCCACTGCTGGAGTACTTGCGCACACACACACACACACACACACACACACACACACACAAAGTCGGCCTGCAGACAGACAAGCCCCGACTACAGAGGTTTGTGAATGCTGTGAACATATTTACATATTTTCTTCATATCCTATAAGGAAGTCAGAGAGTTCCTCTGGCAGTTTTCATGACAGCTTTGCTGTGACATGCTACACAACATATATAGCTATTTTAAACAGCATTCTTTCTATTTATAACTACTATGCATGAAGTTTTTGTGTTCTCTTATTCCTGGAAAGACTGCATGGGATACTTAAGATGTTTTAACAAACCGCAGGACTTTTTCACTTTTTTAACATAAAAAAAAAAAACCTTCCAGCAGTGACAATGACTGTTTTCAAGCAGGTTTTTCCCAAATGCCCTCCTTGTTTGCCATTGGTGAAATAAACAGATAGTCCCATCTCAAAGTAAGATAATTGGTTATTGGCATGTCAGGCCACCCGAATAAAATGTTTTATTTATTCAAAAAATATATATATACATATTTTATTTATAATTGAAAAATTATTCAATGAAACTTTGCAGAAAAAATACTTAAGGAAAAAGTTAAGCAAAACAAAACATGGACATAGTAAAAAAAAAAAAATCACAAAGCAAACTTTGTGGGTATATTTAAGCTTTTTCATGAAATTCTGCAAATAATTGTGATGTCAAGAAAATAAAAGAAAACTTCAACTCTGACACTGGATATAAATTTTAAAAATAAGGAAAAAAATTTGTCAGTTTTGTTGTTGGTTTAAGGAAAACACTATTTTCTCACATGAAAACTTAATTTCTGCATCCATCAAAGATAACTGCAAAATAATGACTGTTTTCAAGCAGGTGTCCTAAACACTCCCCTTCTCTGCTACTGCTCAATGAAACAGATAGACCCGCCTCAAAATAACATTGTTGGCTTAGCCATAAAATGACCATGAATAAACAAAGCAATATTTTTGAAAGTAACAGAGTAGGGAATTCAACCAATAAACAGCTCACTTATATTTGTCAATCCCCACTAGAAGAAAGCAGGACAAATTCTAAAATAAAGATTAAATTACACTAAGACATAAAATTACCTCTGACACTGGATATAAATTTTAAAAATAAGGAAAAAAATTTGTCAGTTTTGTTGTTGGTTTAAGGAAAACACTATTTTCTCACATGAAAACTTAATTTCTGCATCCATCAAAGATAACTGCAAAATAATGACTGTTTTCAAGCAGGTGTCCTAAACACTCCCCTTCTCTGCTACTGCTCAATGAAACAGATAGACCCGCCTCAAAATAACATTGTTGGCTTAGCCATAAAATGACCACGAATAAACAAAGCAATATTTTTGAAAGTAACAGAGTAGGGAATTCAACCAATAAACAGCTCACTTATATTTGTCAATCCCCACTAGAAGCAGGGCAAATTCTAAAATAAAGATTAAATTACACTAAGACATAAAATTAAAATTTTGAGAAATAGTCTTATATTTACTGAGGCAGAACACAGCTTCCATAGGAAATGTTGACAAGTCATAGCATCTAAAAATAAACTTTCCCTTATACATTTATATGAACGTTATCCTTAAATGATGGGGAAGAACGGTTCATGCATAAGTAATTATGTCAGTTACCCGCTTACAGGCATGTGTGTGAGAGAAAGAGAGAGACAGAGGTCTTCAGGCTGCAGGTGCAGAGAAGTCCCCTTGTCTCTGAAATCTCAGATGGGCCGTGCGCACACACTTCAGACAGACGCAGGGGAAAATCACAGGTAATGCTCTCACTCATTCTGAGAACAAGAGAGGAGTGCGTGTGCACTCACTTCCTGCTGCCACAGATGTTGAGGTTTGTGTTTACCTCCCGCCCACAAACAATGTCGTCTGTGCATGGAGCCCAGCTGTCAGCCGGTTTCGTCATCGTCATCACACAGGCACACAGCATTATCTCTAATCAGACCTGTTTCATCCTGACTGAGTCTGCTTTTGAAATTTGTCAAATGGTAAAGCCAATGTCAGCCACACTGTTCAGACTACCACATAGCGGGTAAATTACATAGACCGATGCCCTACAAACTCATATTTTACTTTTACACTCAATATAGCTTTATTTAACCAGAGAAACCTAGAGAAAACACAAAAAATAAACTAGTGTGAATAATAT